TTACACTGAAGACTGGAGTAATGATGCTGAAAATACAGCTTTGCAGTGACAGAAATATAAAATGATAATAAATTAATAATAATAATAAATTATATTTTAAAATATATTAAAATAGAAAACTTCCAAAATGTTACTGTTTTTACTGTATTTTTTATTAAATAAATGCAGCCTTGGGGAGAACAAGATATTTCTTTCTTAAAAACGTTTTAAAAAATCTTACCAACCCCAAACTTTTCTAAACTGTGTGTATGTATGTAATGTATATACATACACAGATTTGTTGCATTTTTATTTTGTAATGGGTCACCTCTGCATGGGTTCCCTTAACTGCTAGTACTGCTCAAAATAGTCTGACACACAAACGTACAACCTGTTTAGAGCACACCGTTACATAAGCAAAGGCCATGGGTGCATTTGCAATTGAGACGGTACTATATAGTTCATGCATGATGATGCATCTGTAAATGTTGGGCTGACATTTATCTGTGTCTGCCCATGTTACCGTAACCAAGTGTTGGGCTCAAATGTAGACGGGCTAGTGGATGCTGCCGTCTTTTGCATCACAAGCCAGTTGAGAATTCATTTAACTAAGCCAAACCAGCTTTATCCTGGAAGCGCAGCATAGAAAAATACCAAAGTTGGTGTAAAATCAGTGTAAAAGGGCAACAGTTTTGTTATAGGTCACGAGGAAAAAGAAACGGCCAAAGCCTGCCTTATGGTAGGGCACTTTACCGGTGAAGAGGGCATGCTGTTATTTTACCTAGTGGGGAAACCAAGGGGATGTCCTGATGCTCGTTCTAAAAAACAGTTCAACCACTTTTTCTCCATCTCTGATATCTCCAATAGCACCACTAGCCATAAAACTGAGCTTCCCAAAGCTTCCCAGCAAATGTTTTTGGCACAAGTGATGTACTAAAAAGGCCCTACAAACCCATCATTCCTGCTTTTGTTGGTATTACTTTTGTTGTTGTACTTTTTTTCCCCTCTTTAAATAGTCTTTTTAGTTTCACTGCAATAAGGTGGCATTAATGAGTTGCCATGGGAATAGCGTTGTGCTTTCTGCCTCTTGCACAAGTTAGTTTAAGCTCTCTCCAAAGGAATTCAGTCAGGGAAACGGAGCGCTCCCATTAAAGGTGAGCGGGTCATAGATGCTTCCGAAACTTAGTGTGAATCAAAGTAGTGAATCTCAATGGTGTTGGGGAACAAAAAGGGTTTGAACTTGACTCTTACTTCAAGAACGGGTTTAAGGATTTGCTTGGCACTTTATGGGTTTGCATTATGAGTATAGAACTGTAATATAATATAAAGAATTATAAGGAATAAAATAAGGAATTCTCTATGAATTGCTTTCTGTGAAGTAATTTTGTGGACGGATATATAAATTAACTTGCATGCTATGTTTTAGACCGAAAATTACAAACAATAACTATATTGCTAACATTTTTTAAAATTACTTTAAAAGGTTATATAGGATTGTTTTATTATAAGTATGTAGGGTAGCAGATTGTAAATATGTACTTGAACATATAACTTAAACATAAACTATACCTTTGTATTAATATAGTATTGTTGTATATTTGTATTCTTATATAAGTAGGATTACTGTAATGTCCGTAAATCAT